CACCTGCTACCCTGATTAGGATGCAAATTCTGACCGAGATGTTGAGGTTTGAATGTGGACTGTGCCCCACAGACTCATATGTTTGAACACATGTCTGCACCTAGGAAAATTCTGGAGCCTCCTTAGAGGAGGCTAGGAGTCAGCCTTGAGGTTTTATAGCCCAGCTCCACTGTCTACTTCCTGACTTGGGAAGCAATGAGATCACCTGCCTTGCACTCCTGCCTGCTTGCTTTCTCCTCATAAAGGGAACTATAAGCCAAATTAAGCCCTTCCTCCCTTAAGTTCCTGCCTATGAAGTATTTTGTCACAGTAAGGAAAAAAATAACTAATACAGAAGATGTAGGGTACAATGGTATCTATAGCAGGCAGACCTGGGGTCTCAGCTTACACACTGGGTCAGCTGGGTGTCATGGCCAACCTTCTCCTTCTGCTTGAATAGAAAGTCAATCTGAGCATGTCAGCAGGCTACCTAAGCAGTGATAACTTTCAAAACGGCAAGTAAGTAACAAAAACTAGAACAAACAGGATCACCAGATCTCATTAAAAATAGAAAACTTCAAACCTAATATCATTATTAAGTTTTAATAACAAATTTGATTTTTACTCAATTGTTAGATATTCTGCTATACACATCTAAATAATGTTTGGGTCGATACATTTTAAAATTTGCTATGAATGTTTCGAAAGGAGAGTGGACAAGAATACTCATAAAAATTTGGAAGGAGACAGTTTCCACTTATCCAGGAATTTCCTAAGTATCTGTTATGTTCCAGGCTGTACTATGAGACCTTATAATGTACAGCTAGCTGCCTTCTTTCATTTAATTTATGCTGATTTTCCTCTGATTCTTCATTTCTTTTATCCCTGGGAACAATTACAATGAAAGTTGCAGAAGAATGGTGTTATTAGTGAATTGGGGGAAGAAGCCACCTCACCTGGAGAGACTTGATCAGCCATGATACTGACTAAGGAAGTATTCCAAACAGCATTTTGTTTACATTTTTTTCTAGCTCATTTCCAGTTAAGAGTATTCCTTTTCTTGACATGTTGTATAACTGTAGTTTCTGAAATACTTCACAGCAAAGAAAAGGCATCGTCTTCGTCGTGTTCTTCAGTCTTTTTTAAATATTTATTATTTTTATTTTATGTGTATGAGTGTATTGTCTGCATGTGAGTGCACCTGTGTAGTGCAATGTCTGTGAAGGTCAGAAGAGCACATCAGATTCACCTGGAACTGAAGTTACAGACAACTGTTAGCCGCCATGTGAGTGCTGGGAATCGAACCCTCGTCCTCTGCAAAAGTAGCTGGTGCTCTTAACCACTGAGGCATCTCTCCAGCCCCGCCCCCATTCTTCAGTCTTGGTATTGATATAGTCTCCTTCTGCCTGTTACACATATGCACATTCTGCATGGACCAAGCAGGTGAATACCTCTGTTTCAGTTCAAACTAAAATGAACCAAGTATCTAATATGTATAAAGGGCTAGCTGAACTGCTGTACATTTCCTCTAATTACACAAGCTGTGGAGATTTTTTTTTCTGAATACGAGGCTTTAAAGCCAAGTGCATTTGTTTTCTATCGCCTCTTTGACAAATGGCCAAAATTTTACTAGTTTAAACATAAGTTTATGACTTTACAGCTCTGGAGGTCAGAAATCCAAAACAGGTTTTACTGGAGTAAAATTCAGATATCATGAAGGTATGTGCCTTCCAGAAATGCTAGTGGAAAATCTAAGTCCTTGCCCCTTCCAGCTTTTAAAAGCCTCCCACATTCTCATCTCTGATTACCATGTTGCCTCTCTGTCACTTTCAAGGTCACGTCTTCCTCCAGCTGACTCTTCTGTTTCACTATTCTGTATTTAAGGAGGCTCGTGATTACACTGGGTTCAGTTAGATATTCAAGAATACTTACGCTCCATTGTTTAGCATTTTAGTTCCCCTTTTGCCAGGTAACCTAACACATTCATAGGTTCTGGGCTTTAGCACATGGACATCTTTGAGGTTCCATAGTTTGGCCTACCACATCGTTAGTCTTTCTTTTTTTCCACTTACCAACTTGACTTTCCATCAGTGGTTTAGTTCTCTTACAGTCTTTCAAAACAAGAAAAAGCTCTTTTGGGCCATAACAGCCCGAGATTCATGGTGGTGATGATCTGTTTCAGCTTTTGACCATGGGCTCTGATTCTGTTGGAATGACTTTTGTACCCAAAGAAAGATTGGAATACAGCTGGACTAGCCATACACATAACCGTCTGCTCCTAGACATGTTAGCCTGAGTCTCCTTACTCCTGTTAGAAGAAACTGATGCCACAGAACTGGAATCCAGCTATGGCTGTCAGGAATAGTGCCCATACTCGCAATCCAAGTTGGCCAGAAAAGAGGCCTTCTCATTAAAAACTTGAGGAGCTAAAGCCCTCTTTGAACATTCCTCCAATAAGCTCAGAATCATTAAAACTGTCCAAGGCACTAGGAAATAAAGTTTATTCAATGCTTTTTTTTTTTAATACAGAAAAAATGTAAAATTAACTAGGCAAATTTCAGTAACTTATCTTCTTAGGCCACTGCAGAGGACTGACAGGTTGACTTTTTTAACAGTTATACAATGCTTTAAGGACTCTAAACCTCTAATAAAAAGAATAATACTTTGCGTGCTTTTTGGAATATATTTCAGACGTAGTTTGACATAGGAACTAATGGTTAAATGTAATTATTCTGTCTTAATCAGGAGCCATGGAGTATGAAAAGTCTGAATGATTGGATTAAGGTTCTAGATAAACAGAGGCTCAAATATAAATGTGAAATGAAGTAAAAGCTTTAAACTTGAATTTATGCTCTGAGTACTAGGGGGAAAAAAGGTATAGTTAAGTTCTATTAAAAATAGGCAAGGCCAACCATCGAATACTAAGCTGACTCCACTACTGTTGCAAGCCGGGTGAAGGTTACTAGGAGTTTTATTATTTCTTATGAGCCTTGTTTTCTAGCCCACAAGGAGCAATGTCCACATGCAAAGCAGTCATGTATCTTGAATTAACCATACCCCCTACTCTTCCCCCTCTCACCTGCTGACTTGTGTCTCTGCTCCCTCAAAACAGTATGTAAGGCAATGGCCCACAGACCTGTGTTCTTAGAAGCTATGGTGCCATCCTTGGTAACACTCAAATGGGTCAATTCAAAGTGATGGCTGACTTGGGAATGGGATAAGGAGTTGTCCTCACATTGCCCCTCAAGGGATTCTGAAAATCTATGTATATATTTGTTGTTGTTGTTGCTGTGTTTTGGGGGTTTTGGGTTTTTTTGTTTGTTTGTTTTTGGGTTGTTGGGGGTATTTTTGTCTTTTTGAGACAGGGTCTCCCTGAAGCCCCAGCTGGCCTGGAACTCACTATGTAGACCAGGCTGACCTTGAACTCACAGAGATCTGCCTGCCTCTGCCTCCCAGTGCTGGGATTAAAGGAGTGCTCCAACATGCCTGGCTCAGAAAAAAAAAATCTATGTACATATTTTTAAATGGCATCTAAGCATCATTGACTTACATTCAAACACTTGAAGAAGGGACATAATTTCTGGCCCTGTATATGGTCTAAACGCTTTCTACACATATTTATCAGAGCCTCAGCTATTGCAGATGCTGTGCACTCTGTGCAAAACATCTGCTGCATTACATATCTGGCAAAGCAAGTCCTCACTGACAAGCCAATCAGCCAGTGTAGGAAAATAATCCTGGTGACAGTCCTCTACCTTCTGAACATTACAAGGAACTGAGACCAGAGCACAGCCCAGAGCCTCATCATGTGCTCGACACGTGGATGAAGAAAGGAGGGAGAAAGGAGCACTGTCAGGGAACTCAGATGCTCAGAGGGAAATTAGTTCCAAGAAAGAGTTGAAAGTGGAGGACGTAAAAAGCAAAACCCTTGAAGTTCTTCATCCTGGAAGTCTTCTGTGTCTAGAACCCATTGGACAAAGCCTGTCTTATAATAATGCAATTCAAAGCCTCTGGCTCTGTTTCTCTGAGGCACCCTAAACCTCTGGAAAGATCTTGATTCAGATTCAAATTCTCTTTATCAAAATGGCCAAAGAAAACATGATAATCTTGCTGGATTTGCCAAACTTGTAGATAATCTCAGACAGACAGAAAGTTCTCGCATTCCAGGAGTTGGCTCTACAGTTTTTCTCTGTGATTTTTTGATTCCTTTTGTCTCTGCACTCTGTCCTTGTTTGATACTCCTCTAGTGTGTTTGCGATTTGGTCTTTGTGACTTTCACCCAGAAGTTCCAAGTCCACCTCATATCATCACTGGGCATTGTGCCCAACCTCTGATTATCTGAAGAAGTCCTTTTAGTGCCAAAAGTAGATAAATTTTAAAATAGTAATTATAGCTGTAGCCTGGACCCGTTAAAACTATCATGTGCCAGCAGAAGAGCTGCTTGTGTAAACTATCACAGACTTTCACTGAGGAAACCAGAAAAGTCTAGGGCACAGTCAGGCTGGAGACCAACTATGAACTCCTCAACGTTTCTGGGGCAAAGGTTAGAAGTGAATTATTGATGGGCAGGAAAAGCAAGTGCAAGAGTTTTACTGGGTGATTTCTCTCCCTAAGGAAGCTTCCAAGTGAAGGACAATACTCAGTTTCCTTCAGGTCCTGTAAATGTACCCCATGGCAGTGCTCCAGAAAGCACCTGGGGGGGGGGGGAATCTGAGGTCACCACTCCAAATAGGCCACCACCTGGCTGCTCCGCATCTCAGTCCATCGCCCCCAGTTCCCAGGTAATGGTGAGAGGGGCAGCCAGGCCTTTAATGGGCTCACTGTGGAAGACACTAGTCCACGGTGGCTGCTGGTGGTGCGCACGCGCACAGGTGCTCACTTCCCCAAAACAGACACACACACACACACACACACACACACACACACACACACACACACACACACACACGCACACACGCATACACATGCACAGAGGCACCGAGTGCAGGCTGCACACGGGTGAGGAGGGGGGAGGGCCTTACCAGATCAATGAACGTCAGGAACTTCCAGCTCCCTCCATAGGTCTGATGAGAGGGCATTTCGATGGCCTTGTAGTTGCACAGGATGGAGCAGTAGGACAGCAGGATGGCCACCCGCAGCACCTGGCAGGGAACGAGCGCCATGTTCGCGAGCCTCCTGCAGGGGCTGGGTGGCGCACGGGGCAGGCCGGGCGTGGATCCGGGCGCGTGGGGGCGGGCGCCGTGGGAACCGGGGAGCGGCGGGGTGGGGCGGCAGCTTGGGGCGTCCCCCGGGACAGGCGCGGCCGCAGGCGCCCGGGCGACCTGCGCGGGCGGGGCCGGAGTGAGCCGGCGACGGGCAGGCGGCGTGGCGTCATCTCTGTCGTCATCTCCGTCATTCTGCAGCTGCGTTCGCGGGGCCCCGCGGGGGGCGCCCCCTAGGAGGCGGGCGCGGGCCACCCAGCTCGGAGAACTGCTGGGGACCGCTGCTGCGTGCGGCGCTCTGGGACAGAGAACAGGGCCCGACAGGAGCAAGGAACCTGGATGCAAGGAGGGCGCCCAGAATTCAAGCCTTGCAGCCCAGGGGGAGCTGCTGTAGGCCGGTGGTGCTCCCTGTCCTGGGACCAGCTGGGGTCTGCATGGGGTGTAAAGCCACAGGTACCCTCCAGTGAATGGCATTGCTGGAATTTCAGTGTTGAAACACCACCACTTCTGACTGTGAAACTCCTTATAAATTCTGCAAGGGGTTTATTTAAATATCAATATGTGACACAAGATAAAATGTGAACTTTGAACAAGTTCTGTATGTGTGTGTGTGTGTGTGTGTGTGTGTGTGTGTGTGTGTATCACAGCACAAGTGTGAAGGCCAGAGAATCAAAATCCGGTCATCAGGCTTGGCCGCAAGCACGTTTAACCAGACAACCCCGAAAAGTTTTAGAAGTAGAAACCTCTGAGTACTGCATCGCCGCTCCAAGATTGCAGTCCGTTTTAAAGACAAATCATTCTGAGGATGTAAATCACACCCACATATGTGTCATTTAGTACAGACCTGTAGGGATTTAAATTCGTTTTGCACTTTGACATATTTTTCCCCTTACACTACCATACCAGAGCTTAGTGGGAGGAAAGTAAATATAAACTGGATTCCCTCAGCCTTCCAGTAAATGTTTCACAGGGGAATTGCAACAGTCTGTGGGCAGCATTTTTTTTTTTTTAAATCATGATCATGTTTCAACCAGTCAGATGAAGGCTCCAGTTATGGAAAGACCACATAGGTATTTCCTGTGGATCCATTCAAAACAGGTGTCCTCTTCAAATAGCCACTGAGTCAGAGGATGTGGAGGGAAGGTGGTGGGGAAGACAGAGTTTTAGAGGTAAAGAGAAGGGAGCAGTGTTCCTGAATTTTTCCCATCAATTCTAAGGAAGGAACCACTAGAATTTTTCATTACATGTAATTATGCTAGTGGGAACTGAAGTCACAAAATGGTACTGCTACAATAAAATGATTCTTTATTCACAATTTATCATATTATCCTGTGCTAAAGTTGGGTCTCTGTGTGTGTGTGTGTGTGTGTGATTGCTATATGTTCACATGATTGCAAAAACATTTAATTTATTGAAGACCTAAGACCCTAATGGAGTTTCATGAATTAATGAGGTATTGGCAAAACTGGATATGCCTCTCTTACTTTAGATTTTAGAAAGTAATTAATAAGACTCCCTTCCCCCATAATTATAAAATAAAATATTATTTAAGATTTTACTGTGGGCAGCTTTCAAATAAGTATTATAACAGCCAAATAAGTGTTTTGTTTTAAAATAAGTGATCCTATTCTAATAGGTTTGTGATTTTCTCATCACAATACGATGGATTTATATTTTTAATGGACTATTTTGGGTAAACCTTGACTGAAATACTATTTTATGAGAATATTGGTCTCCAATTTTTAAGACATCTTGGTCACTCACTGTTTGCTGACATGCCCAGTATTTCACTCTTTGCTTTTTAGTCCATATCTAAAATCTTAGTCATGGTTTGCAAATATTCTCTGTGAGATAACAGTAATCAGAACACAGATCATTTATTCACTGTATCTAATACAATGAGACGTGGATTTAAGACACTCAATAAACTGTCTTTTTCTAGAAACAGAGTATTCATTTGTAGTTGCATGATTCAACTTTGGATTTAGAGGATACTGGGTACTCTACATTGAAGAAATGTCTGCAGGTTACATTCTTAACTTTTTCACTCTACCACACAACTAGTGGGATGGAAGGAGAAAATGCCTTGTTCATTTGAGTTTTGCGGATACCCAGAAAAAATTTCAAAACCTTGTTTTAGCTTCTAGTTAGTGCTTTTACTCTTAGACTGTATAAGAACTGAAAATACTTCTAGAAATTAATACAAAGTGTGTGTGTGTGTGTGTGTGTGTGTGTGTGTGTGTGTTTGTGTGTGTGTGTGTGTTCAAGAGCACATGTGTGTCCTGGAGAGAGACAGACATATTGTCTGACATATCAGTGATGATAATACCTGCTATTTTGGAAGTGACAGAAACCCCTGTGTCTCCCTTATGTTCTGTTCCAAGAAGCCAACTTCACAAAGCCATAGGTCTTGCTTTAAAATTCAGGAGGATGAATTTGTGACACAGTCAGTCTTACATTAGTCAGTGAAGGACTGAAGAGATGACTCAGTGGTTTAAAGAGATGGTTCTTGCAGAGGACCTGGGTTTGATTCCCAGCACCCACATTGCAGCTAACAACCTTAATATAACTCCAGTTCCAGGGGATCTGACACCCTCTTCTGACTTCCACAGGCATTGCACAATAGAGGTGCACTTACATACATGCAGACAATACACTCATGCACATAAAATAAAAATAATAAACAAAATATTTTTAAAATAATGGTCAGCTGGGCGTGGTGGTACAAGCCTTTAATCCCAGCACTCGGGAGGCAGAGGCAGGTGGATCTCTGTGAGTTCAAGGCCAGCCTGGTTTACATAGTGAGTTGCAGGACAGCTGGGGCTACAGGGAGACCCTGTCTCAAAAAGACCAAAATAATAATAATAATAATAATAGTCAATTATTATGCATATTCTAACAATTTTTCTATATTTGAACAACTCATTTATCCACCTTCACATTTATCTATATTACAAAGATGAAAGTTGGGTGTGGTAAAAAAAAAAAAAAACTTTCAGTGTTAACAGTAATCAAGAAGTCTTAAAACCTAGAGACTGCATTCTCATAAAATAGTATTTCACTGAAGGTTTATGTAAAATGTTTCATTTTCAAAAATGTAAAACTATCCGGTCATGGTTAGCAAATCCTAATATAATGAAAGCAAATTTATTAGAATAGGTTCAAAACACTCATTTGAAACAAAACAAAAACTATTATAGTATTCCTTCAGAAAGAAACTGCCCACAGTAAAACTTGAAATATTGAGTTGCTTTCTTTTCCTTAATTATAAAAGTAGCATATTTACAATGTTAAAATTAGAAAAACATAAAACATAACATTATCCCCACCCAAAGAAAACACTAAATACTTTCACTTCTGCCTACATGGCTGGATGTGTCATAATCTGTGTAACAGTCTACATCCTATATGTTTATTTGTCTTAAATTTAATCAGAGTTTTCTCATTTAAAATATGTAAAAAAAAATCACATTTAATGATTGTATTGCACAATATCAATGATTCTTCCCTGGTTTGAGATGTCTAGGTGGTTTCCCGTATAAATGTGCTCTGTATAAAGTCTTAATTTTTAATGAGAAAGCCACTTTTTAAGGATGTTTAGAGCTTAAAACCAACTAAGAAACCATGCTTTATTAACTTAACATGTGTACTTGGTCTGTAAAAAATTTTTTAAAATTGTGTGTGTGTGTGTGTGTGTGTGTGTGTGTGTGTGTGCACGCAAATGAGTGTGAGTGCCCACTGAGGGCAGAAGAGGACATTAAATCCCCTGGAGCTGGAGTTGCTGGGTCATCTGAGCTATCTGATGTGGATCCTGGGAACCAAATGCAAATCCCCAGCAAAAGCAGTATACACTATTAAATGCTGAGCCATTTGAGGTCAGCCTGGTCTACATAGCAAGTTCCAAGCCAGCTGGGACTACAGGAAAACCCTGTCTCGGAAAAAAGCCAAACCATCTCTCTAGCCCCATGTGTACTTGATTGTGAATGTTTGTATGAACTGAGGTGCTATGCTAAGAAGACTGCTTTTGTCCTGATGGGACAGCTGAGAAAGAAGAAGCAAAAGTAGTAGCTCAAAAGAAAATAGCACCTTTTCCAGACAGCCAATGCTCAATCCAGCTTTGAAAGAAAAAAAGCTTTAGAGTCATTATATTTAAAAATAAGGGATTTTTTTTCTACTAAGAAGTAGGAGTTGTCTTTTGTGGGCCAAATGAACAGCAGGTACTGGTGGTTGTGCTGATATTACTGGCTGTAACAGATTTGCTGACTTCAAAATACATGCTATAGAGAACTCTATAGAGGTATGAGATTTCTAAAGGTCAAGAACTCCCAGGAGGATTGTTACAAAACTTTAGAGAAAACACCTTGTAGGTTAGTTGTGAGTCACGGAATGCTTTTCACAGGAATCTGAACCACCTCCATCATTCCGTCCTGCTGCCTCTGCATTGGCTAGTGCATCCCACTGTGGCTGAAACAGTCTCTACCCTGCACATATCCAAACCTTGCTCTGCCTGAGAGACTTGGTATTTTAAGTCCACGACATCTCACAATCCCCCTTTGAGACTTAGGATGTGGCCTTCTTGTTCCCACTGGATGGCTTACTGGTGATTCAAATTCTACATGCACACACTGTCCTCATTATTTCCTTCTCAAAAACTGTCCCCCATGTAGTATTCCTAATTTCTGAAAACTTCACTCACTTGCCATGTTAGAAACACCAAGACAGAGCCAGATGCCCTCTCCCTCCTCCCAGTTCTGTTCTCCTAAGCAACAATATCCCTGGAGGTATGCTAAGGTGAAGTTCATATAATACCAGAATTGTGTTCAGGAAGGACACTGTATTGTTAGAAGGAATGTTTTTATAAGCTATATGGTTGGATGGTAACAACTGATAAGAGAGACGTCCTAAAACACTCTAGAGTGACAGCAAATGCCTGTCATAAATGTCCTTCCCATGAGTGTCATGGTAACTGAAGTTTTAGTCATTGAGTGGAATATATAGAATTCAGGGACCAGAACTAAATTTCTCTAAGTAGTAGAGAAAAGGTAGGACACCCAGCCAAGAAATTCTTTCAGCTTTTTAAGTGTGGAACAAATATTTAAAGGATTTTGCATGTTTTCACCATAAAGAAATGATAAATATTTGAGGAGATAGATATTTAACCTGATTATACAAT